CAACTGGATTGCCTTTGCTAGGGGCTGACCTAAGTCATTGTTGAAGGACTTGAGAACCTCCTTTTCCATTCTGTCGAGGTTGTCTTCATCTTTGATCCTTAGCCTTTTTCGTTTCTGGGTTGCAGAGGCCTCCTGTAACTCTATAAATGGTTCCTTGCTCTCTTTACAATCACGAATGTTTCAACCTTAAAAGCTCTTAAAGGAGTGTTATAAATCCTCAGATTCAGGTCTGTGTTGGTTCCCATGGACACTATCATTAAACCCAGATCCGAACCCGTATTACCCTCTTCTCCACCTTGGTCTGCTCCCTTCAAATTACCAGCCAAGGCTTCTGACTCATCATGAGAGAAATTTTCGGATTTGGAGGACTTGCCGACCTCTGAAAATTTTGGGCTATTGAAGCTTCTTACTCTATTTCCCGAAAAAGTAAATCCATGTTGACTACCGCTGGAGTCTCCGTCGTTCCATCTGTCCCCCATCGGAGCAATAAAGCTTCGCCGGAAAAACTTCTTAGATGACAGGATAAACTTGAAGCTTCAGTTGAAACCACCTGGACTTGCTGGATTTGAAGTTCCCTGAGGCTCTTCTTCAAAAAGTCTGCGCTTGACCGTTGTTTTCCTTATAATAAGCTCCAATCGGCCCTGCTGCTCTTCTTCATCATTGTTGTTCAGAATGCTCACTTCTGGCGATTGGGGTTCGTCCCTTGCCTTCTTGTTCGAAACCGTTGCTTTGGGATCTGTCTTTTGTATTTTACTGTGTGTATTTTCATTCCCAGCATTCCTTTGAAGTTTTGCGCACCTACCTGCATTCAGAAATCTATCATTTTGATTATCAACATCAGCCCTTAACCAAGGCCCATACCCCTCTGGAATCTCTGTTCGATCCATTTTGTATTTCTCCATTCTGGCAACTAATTCATCCACGTCCTCCCAATTATCCTTGTCTTCAGTACAGGTTTTCTCTACATGTCCCAGTCTACCGCATCTGAATCAAAAGAAAGGGATGTTCTCATATTGAAAAGAGAACCACTCTTCACGACCATCTTCTAGGACACCTTTGGAGCCAGTTTCCAAAGGCCTGTTTACATCTATTCTCACTCTGACCCTCAGTCCCATATTCCATTCTAACTTTTTCTTCCTTTGCCTATCCTCTTTTGGGTTCACATCCAAAACCTCCCCCGCCTCCCTTTCTAGCAACTTTCCCGTTTCACGAATCCACAATGTAGTAGAGCTTAGATTCACCTCAGGAACTAGCAGATCGCGCGTTCGATTTGGGATTTGGTTCTTGAGAAGGAGGGGATACTCCTTAATTGTCCAAGGTTCTTCTCTTAAAATATTCCTCACATCCTTCTCTCTAGAGAAGGAGATTCACAGAATATCATCACTCGCTCTCTCCTTTTCATTTCTCCTTAATTTGATCCACCACCACATGCTCTTGAGCTGATCCATGACTCTTGTTACATTCACCGGTTTGTCCGATATAATCTTTGCATACAAACTCTTCCTGCTTTGAACGTTCTTGACCAGCATCTTCCTGATTTCTTTCCACTCTTCCTCCATCCACCGTCTCCATCCTTAAGCTCGAGCGTGTTCACACACCTCCGATCCACGACAGAACTATCGTTTTCTCACCGATTTTCATTCCCTCACAGAACAATGAACCCTGAACAATAACAGTCGCTATAGGCTTGATAGCTAAGTCAATGGAAAGTCCACCTTACTCCTGGCCCTAGTTGTCCTTGTATTGAGGGGGGTATTGTTAAATTGGATGATCAATAGTCATTCAAAGGAATCTGATTTTCTATGGGGAAAGAAGGGATAACTGAACTTGTAAGGGTAAAGTAGTAGTACTACTCTACTAGTTATCTGTATCTATTTTCCAATTTTAAAATTAAGATTTTTATATCATCTCATTAACTTTACATTAACTCACTCCTCCTTTTCATTAATTCCTTTAAATTATCTCCTGTCATTAATTCTCTCCTTCAATAACTCATACCACTAATTTTCTCTCCTCTCCTTTATTCTATTAAATTGCTTTTAATTCATTAACTTTTTTATCTATAGTGTTAATGAGTTATATATACCCTGAAGTTTATGAAAACTATTTTATATCTACATTGTACTTTAAAAAATTACGTACATATACCTTTCTAGTTGGCCCCACATAACATAAATAGGCCCTCCATCAATCAAATGTTTAGAGTTAATTTATCCTTCCATTTTGAAAATATTGTTGATCTTCTGCTTCAAAATTCTCAACCAAAACCCTAGACTGATCTTTCCATTCTTCTATAATATTTCTAAGGAGGACTCAGGGGAGCCATGCCCCTCCCCTATGATTCAGAAACTGTAAATTTTCTTATCTTCCCACTCTCCATCTCAGCCCATCCATTATTAATGTTTTGGTCCCCTTATAACAATTTCCTCACTCTGCCCCTGGAGAGAAAGAAGAGAGAAAGGAAACAAAAAAAAGGAGGAAAGAAAAAGGAGGAATAGGAGGACGAGCATCCGATGTAGAAAATGCAATGACAACTTTGGATCTCTCTGAGATCTCAGATCTGCAATATTGCTTTTCTCTTTTCTCTCTCTCTCTCACAGTCTCTGGGATCTAATCAGATCTGAGTCTCAATCTCTCCCCATCTCTCGATCTTTCACCCTATAAAAATGCGAACCATTGCCCGAGTCAAACGGGCAAAATTATACTATTTTGGATGAGAATTTTGAAGCAGAAGATCAACAATTATACTTCCCAATCGCAAGGAAATGGATTTAAACGGGCAAAATTAGAAGATCAACTATTTCCATGTAACTTCTCCCGCAATCTCTCCCCATCTCTCAGTCTCTGTAACTTTTTCGTCAACGTTTCAAACCGATGCTTCCTGCTAGAGAAGTTACATGGAAAAATATTGCGGGAGAAGAGGGTTTTAGACTGCTATCATTGTAACCCTATTTTTCAGTTATTCAATTCAAAACAAATGGGGTTTTAGACCGCCATTACTGCTAGAGAAGATGGGAAATTCTTTTCGTTGCTGGGGAAGACAATTAAAGTAAAAGTCTAAAAAATATTTAAAAAGGGTAATTTTGGTGTTTTAAAAAATTAAATCACACATATTGTCATGTAATACCAAGGTTTTTAACCTGTCGTTGACGTGAATGGTTGGACCGTTTGAACCATCACCCGGTCGACTTTCTGGGTCCAGTTCTCATAAAACCCAGGATTTGTTAAAAAACCATTGACAAGTCAGCAAACCGGATGACTCAGACAGTTGAACCATCGAAACGACAACCCAGTAAGCGGGTGACGGTTCGACTGTCCACCTATACTTTTTAGTCCATTTTTAGGTTTAAAAAATCAAAAAAATCTCCAAAAGTCCCAACTTGAGCACCCTTCTCTTTTTACATTTTTCTTTCAATTTTTTTCACATTATTTTTTGTATTTTTGGATATATATTTTTCATAAATATTAGGCATTCTTTTATAAGTTTTAAGATATTTCAGACATATATTTAGCTATTTATAATTTTATATCATTTTCTAGATATTTATACAAGTTTTATATATACATATATATGTGTATATAATATATAATTTTTTACTATAAAATAATAGCTAAAATACTTGTGAATCAAATAGAAGATAATTGGACCATTTTAGAATGCATTCACAGCAAAGCGTATATGATCGTGTGGAATGGAGGTTTTATTAAATAGAACCCTTGGCTTACGTAACGATGCCCTTTATCCCCATCTTTACATTATATGTACTGAGGTGCTTTCACAGTAATTGGTGCAAAAATTAGAGGAAAGTTGTCTACGTGGCATTAAGTTTGGACGACCAGGAATTAAACTTAACCACTATTCACAGAATATGGTTCACTTTGGTCGATGCTCGAAGGATGAAATTAATTGTTTACGGGAGATTTTATCAACCTTCTGTAAATGGTCAGATCAAGACATCAACTACTAGAAATCTTCCATTTAATTATTTCAGTTATAATACTCACCATCGCATACGATCGATCCAGCATTTGCACTACTTTAAGAGTGCGCTCTATGGGTGTTGATTAGGGATGGCCACGAGCCGAGTTTTTTATAAGTTATTCGAGCTTGATTCAGTTTGGTTTAAATAAAATTTTGAGTTGAATTTGAGTTTAATATACAGACTTGTTTGCTAGTGGGGTCAAGTCCAATGAAGCTTGATTCATGAGGCTTATGAACCTAGTATTAAATAAATAATTTTTATTATATATATATATAAAATAAATAATTTTGTTATATATATAATAACATTTTTATTTTTTATGTATAATAGTAAATAATTTTTATAGTTCTTAATTTTTATTTAAAAAATAAAAAATAATTTTATAGATACAATTTTTATTTTTCAAAAAAACTTAATTTACTCAAACTTAAAGAGTTATTTGAACTGGATTCGGCTCAGCTCGACTTGAATCTACCCCTAATACTTGGGTGGGTATTGATGATCTACTTGGATTACCCGGCCCTTTTACAACGTAGAACAAAATGCTCTGAAAGGCAGTCCTTACTTGAGAAGGTGCGTAAAAAGCTAGATGGTTGGAAGGTGTCTTTGTTATCACAGGCGGGATGAAATGTTATTATCAAGTCCACATTAGTGGCGGTACCATGCAAAATATCAGATGGAAACACAACTTCAACGTACCGAAGACTGTTTGTCATCAAGCTGTATGATGGATATGTGACGCAGTTGCTTGAGAAAAATAAAGTTCGCATGTGAGAGGCCTTGGGGTCCATTGACACCAAACACTCTTCCCCATATAAGGCTCTATCAAATTGACTATATAGAATTTTTGATAACATCTGGACATCTTCCTAAACCTAGTAGACAGGTAAGACTATGGTCTCTGGTTAAGGAAAGAAAAACTCTTCTCTTTCCAAATTTTCCAACGCTGGTCAGAGAAAGAATTTTATTTCCCATTCTATAAGAATTGTTGAAGAACCAATCTCAGTGGAGATACACTCAGCCAAAATATCCAGCCCCCATCCCTCTTTGCATGTTCATGACTTGAAGTTGAACAGTACCAGGCCCTCTGGACGGCCACCGGTTCGTGCTATTAATGTTACAGTGAGCCTGTCGTATGGGGCTGCTTTGCGTCTCCATTTCATTATCTTCCTCACCTCCTCCCACATATTGTTGCACCACAAGAACTGATTTTGTTTCTGACATGTCCGATGCCAACAAATCCCCGATTGCCCCTAGCTCCGGGCATTCACTCCAATCAGTGAGACCAGCCGTGAGAGGTGATATCATTCCTTGTCCTCTTCCAACTATGTATAGGTCGTGTGTGTTGTCCAAGGACCGAACTACCGCTGCCGTCTCCTCCCCATTATTCACAATCTTCTCTGAATATGAAATTGATTCATCGTTCGTATTCTTTATCCTGAACTCGTTTATGTATTCATCGTCAAGCTTCTTCTCCCTTTCGTTGTCTGTGATCACTGTTAGGATTCTCAAATCCCGGGTGTCGCTGCTTGGTTCCACCACAGGATCCGCCGCGTCCTCCCCTGGAAGGAAGCGTAACACCGTCAAACAAACGCCTGGGTGTTCTGCCATCCTCCATCCATACGCCAATGCTTCTCTATCATCTGGTCCACCAAAGAAGAGCACAGCAACGTGGTGGGTGGTTTCGGTTGCTGCCACCCGTGTAGACCCATCTAGACCACGATCGACAAGAATGCCGACTGAGCAGGGGGCAGTGGCTAAGACGTTCTGATTTATACCACGGAAGGCAGGATTTGTGGCCTCCATACTGCCATCAAGCGTTTGTTGCTTGTGAAAAGGGAGGAGGATGAGTGAGGCTCGTTTATCCTCAGCAAGATTGCAAATGTCCTCATGCATGGTGGAGTAACGAGAGATTGCGGTGAGGGGCTGGACAGAGACTCCACCTGAGTGTTGTTCATAGTTTTCGAAGGCGCTTATGATGTGGTCAGATTGGGCTTGGGTGCGGTTGAGAGCAGGATGGCCGCCGGACTTGTGAGAGTTGTGGACAATCAACATCGCTGAGGAACGCCCGGTGAGCTCAACAAGGTGGAGCGCGAAAACGCAAATGGGGGACTTCTTCGTTGGGTGAGAAGCATCAATCAGGTTGATGATGGTCGGGACATTGCGAGGTGTGTGGACGCAGGCCAGTATACGAAGCTCTGCGTCACGCTTCGGCCACTGAACGGTCCTACGCTTGTATGGTATGAATGGTCTTGCTGGTTTGTAGATGGCCGTTATGACTGGAGTTATGATGCTTGTCATGATAACTGCCACGATCACCAAGATTGCAAATGACTGATCATCTAGAACCTGTTTTCAACAAGAAGAATCAAGGTGTAGAGATAGATAGATAGATAGAGAGATATAGAGAGAGAATAGATAGAGAGATACCTTCTGGTCCCTTCCAGCACTGAGGATGATAATTTCGATGGGACCTTTGGTATTCATTAGTAAGCCAAGCGCGACACTTTCCTGCATTGGCATATGGTTAACCACAGAAACAATGATTGTGGCAACCGCCTTGCCGGTGCAGCTCAGAAAAATGGCGAGAATCAATAAGCCCAAGGTGGAAGAGCCATGGATGGCCCAGATATTAGTCCTGAGCCCGCTAATGGCGAAGAAGAGCGGGAGAAGAAACACCGAAACAAAATCTTGAAGCTTATCAATGATGGTAGCTCCGAGTGGTCCATTAGGTATGACAAGGCCAAAGACGAAGGCACCAAAGATGGGGTGGGTACCAAGGGTGTCAGTGATTAACCCACAGATCATGACTCCACTGACGATGAGACAAATGTAGAATTCATTGTAGTTGCTGCTTTCTGGCGTGCGTCTTATGATCCATGCAATGGCTGGCCTGATAACAAAGATGCAGCACATGACGAATACAACAGCGGAGACGACCACCAATAGAGAGGCAAAACGGGTGGCACCGGTCTTGGCCAGGGAAACGGCCAAGGAAATCAAGATCCATGCGCACAAGTCATTGATGATGGCCGCAGACAGGGCTAGCTTCCCCAACTCGGTGTTGAGTAGTTTGAGCTCCGCGAGAATACGAGCTAGCACAGGGAAAGCGGTGACAGAGAGGGTAACGCCTAGGAAAAGGAGGAATGTGCCAGGGCCAACGTCCTCGGAGGTTTGCAAAAAGAAGGAGAGAGAAATGCCAATCAGAAATGGCGGGATCATTCCAATAATGGCGATGGTCAAGGCCTTCTTTCCTATGCGCTTGATCACATATAGGTCCATCTCAATCCCAACCAGGAACAAGAAGTAGAGCAGTCCTATGTTTGCCATTGTCTCTAGAATCAGCACGCTCCTCAACGGGAACACTATGTCAGCAAACTTAGGGATCCGCCCCATGACTGACGGACCCAACAACACACCTCCCTGCACTCATCGTTCATTCATTCCGTTATATGTTTTAATTTGTTAGAGACTGATCAAGTAGAGAAGATGACGCACAGTGACACGTTAATCTAAGGTTTAGTTCCTTACAAGGATCTCAGATATGACTTTAGGTTGGCGGAGGGGTTTGAGGATGAAGACAAGAAAGCGGGTTGTAATGATGATCAGAGTGATCTGCAACAAGAACACAGGAAGCGAATAATCCCAAGGCATGCTGCCTACCCAGATACCACTGGTGGTGATCATCTTTGGTGAGTAGCATACTATCATGCCTATTGTTTCGTTGTTTTTCGCGCCAAGCCCACCGCTACTGGTCGAGACGATACCCATTTCCCCCATTGATCCCATTTTGACCTAATACTCTTCCTCCACCACCACCACCACCTCCTCCTCCTCCTCCTCAGCTTAACTAACAACTACCGTTTGGTAGTATCCTTCAATCACCATAACACAGAAAGGAAGAAAGGGAGAACTGAGTCAAGAGAGAGGAAATGGGGACGAACGAGAAATGAACAAAGGAAAAGAGAGAAACAAGGAAACCAAACCAAGAAGATAAGGAAAGAAACGAGCTTGACATGCAGCCAAGACCGTAAGATTTTGCTTTAAGTTTTTCTTAAAAGATGAATGGTGGTAAAAAGAAGGAAGACAAGCAATTATTTCTTTAGGTGGTCAGCGCCCCATTTGGAGGAGTTACTCTTTTGTGTGGTTAATACTCCTCTCCTTTCTATTTGAAGTCCCAATTGTTCCGCAACTTATTCTATGATTTGAAACAAGACGTTGAAGAGCTACCTGAGATTATGGACCATGGCCCATTGTTACAGGTTTTTTACATTTTTGTGAAGGAAAAGGCCGAATCAAGTAAAGCTACCTGAGATTATGGTTGCTTTTAGTGGTTGATTCAGTGTTAGTGGACTTCATTTAATTATGAGAGCTTCTTGGTTTGAGGAGGTAGGGTACATGGATCGGAGTTGTGCCACAACAACTTTCTCACATGGTACAGAGAATAAGATTGATCCCCCAAACATCAGAACATTTGGATCCTTCATAATATTCCAAATATGTGCTTTAAGTTGTAATTATCAAGGCTTACCAAAAAAGAACAAATTTATAAGGATAGTATTTTTCAAATCAATATAATAACATGATTTCTAACTTTATACACTTATTATTATTATTATTATTATTATTATTATTATTATTATTATTGTTATTGTTGTTGTTATTACTACCATTAGTTGGGCCTGTGCGATGCATGGGTAGAGGTGTAAATCGGAGGCCTGGCATAGCCCAATATGATTTTGGACCAGCCCGACACAACACGACATGACAGTCCATGGGTTGTGCCATGCCTGGGACGATGGTCCGTGCCGTACTGGGCCTAGGGTTTGAAGTCCACGGGCCGGCATACTATGACATGATCAAGCGGGCCGTGTCGCCCGTGGCCCATGTGTCGGCATGTCCCAACATGGCCCATATATACTATTTATATATATTTTATATTTATTTATATATATACATAATATTTATATATTTTATATACTTATATATAATATATAATATATTATATAAATTATAATTATATAATACTATATAGTATATAATATAATAATAAAATAAAATTTTCTTTCAATTTTATTATATTAATTTATTTAATTATTGTATATAAGCAATTGTATACATCAAAGTTCATATAGGGAAAAATAGCTTTGGCTCGGTCCATGGTCCGACTTGGGCCAAGGCTTGGCCCATGGGCCAGCCCGGCCTGCGGAACGACACGACACAACACGGGCCCACGTGGGCCTGGGCCATGCCAGGCCAACTCTCAAAATTTTCATCGGGGAGGGTGGTACGGCCTACACTTTGCCCGGGCCACCTGCGGGCCATACCGTACCTCCTACTTTAGACCTCTATGCATGGGTATTGTTAAAAGAAATTGTGGTAGGAACCTTATGAAAACATCAATTGGGCTAAGTGGTACCGTGGTCTTCTTCTTTTGTCTGTTTTCAATGACTAATATCTTAAAAGTAAAAGACTATAGACATAAGATTGTTCTTTTAATACCTCTTATTTTTCATACATAAGACATTGTTATTATTTGTCCCCAAAATTTTCTTTTCACATTTTATTCATTTATTATTAGTAAAACTTTCTTGCTATACTAAATCTTTATTTAGTATTAACGTATTAACAATTTATGATTCTTTTATTATCTAATTTTTTTATATATTATTTATTTATAATTATTATAATTATTTTAGTTCTTTTATTGTTTTTGATTAAATATTATTATTTGTCTAGTTAATTTTCTTAAATTTTTTTAAAATAATAAGAGTTAATTATTATATTATTGTTTAATTTATTTTAGTTATTATTTTAATTAATTTAACTTTTACGTTGTTATTTGAAATTATTATTTAAAATATTTTATTATTATTGTTATTATTTTTGTTTTTAATATGGATTTTATTCTAAATAATGATTAATATCAATTTATTAATGTTAATTATAATTACCATAAATACCCATTCTCATAATCAATTATGGGGCCAAAATTTTAAAGTAACCGTATTCAAGTTCCGGCATAACATTATCTACATTAAAATATTAGATACAACAAAAAAATACCAATTTTCAAATTACTTTTTTCACATCTTTTTTGCTGTTTAGACAACGAACTTCAGACCAAAAGAATGACACCCCAAGTCCAACCTAAACTATTTTTGGGTTATATATTGTTAGATAATTTTGTGTTAAGTTTTATTACTTTTATTACATTTTATTAGTTTTATTACTCTTCAATGTGATGCATAGGCTTTATCAAGTAACATTTAAACAAGAGTCATGGGACATTTCTATTTCCTAGATTGCCAAACCCAAGAGGGGTGTGAATTGGGTACTAGAATGATTGTCCTTGACTAATGCCTTCTAAATGCATGAGTGCAAACTTGGAGTGTAAGGTTGTGTGTGTATGTGTGTGCTAATCAATGCAATGTAAATAACAAAATAATCAAATAAGTAAAGATGAACAAGTAAAGTAAATGTTTGCAGAAAAGTAAAACATACAAGGATTTTTATAGATGCTCGACCAAACCTAAGTCTATGCCCTCTTCTCAAGCAACCTCTTGAGAGTTCCACTAAAACCAACAAGGCTTTTGAGTGCCTATTAAACCGTAGGACTTCTAGTGCCTATAAGACCTAAATCAGTGGAACTTCCGAGTGTCAACCAAACCAAACCAATTGGGCTTACTAGTGCCAACTAGACCTCTAATGGTATTCAAAGCACAACACAGATACAATAGATATAGCAATGTAAAGCTCAAATACTACAAATGCCTCATAAGAAGCTAATAATAACAAATACAAACAAACAATATTAGATACAAGAGTATGCACAATACTATAGGCTCAAGCACTTGGAAGATATTTAAGAAATCTCAATGAGAAACAATTAAGCCCAAATGTTTCTCAGCTTTTCTTACTATGGAACAGAGAAAACTTAGAAATCTCTTTGTATATATGAAACTCTTACACATAAATGCTCTCTTTTATTAGTAGATAAACGCTGGTTCAAGCTTTTACATTTTTCACTCCAAGGATAAACCACATATGACCATTATAGATTCATTGGAAAGGATTAATTCATATTTAAAATTGTTCAGAGCAAGTTCCCAGCAAGATAGATGGCATATTAAAAGAGGAAATAACTGTTGTTCCTTTAAATGTATTTTTTTTTTTTAAATTTCAAGTAGTCAACTAGCATGAGTTAGTAGTCAACTACCACTTGTAGGAGAGGAGTCTTTTTTTCTCTGTCAGTCAACTACTTCATCTTGATAGTCGATTTCTAACTTATGTCCATTCTCATCTATAAGATATAGTTGACACATGAATTTTTATACTTGACTACCAAGCAATGTCCAAGCAACATTGGCCTCGACTATCATAGGTAGTTAACTACTTACTATTCATAACTTTAGAAACATAGAGATATTGGTTCCAAATTATGGTCTAAAATCATTTTCTCTTAGGCTTCTAAAATTAAATTTTCAACTATTGAGTCTACAAATGAGTCTAAGAACACCTAAGAACCAAACCTAATATTATCCATTGGTCTCTAAGGTTAGGTTAATCGAGTTTAGTCAAGCCATAGGTCAACACTACCCTTGACTCTCATGCATATTATTACATCAAGTCCTAAAAAGCACTATACACAATGTATAACACTTGAACTTGATACTTCTTTCTTTCATCTCATTGTAGCAATTTTTTTTTTCTTTGGAGAGTCACAAGTTGATTATTAACAACTGATTAACAACTGTCCAAAGCATTTGATTTCAAGCTTGATTCTTCAGAGTAGATTGGTCAACCACTTTAGCTTAATAGGAGTAACTTGGATTAGATGCACACTTAACACATTCATTAGTATTCTTAATGAGTTTGTTATCATCAAAACATATAGGGCGAACAATTTGTAATTGGGCAAAGTTGAATCCTATCCATCTTAGGAATTCAAATAACTCGACCCATGAACTTCAACTTCTTGATGCATAGTGTTTTTTGGGCCCCTAGTTCGTTTCTTCTTTTTCTTTCTTCATCTCCTAGGGAATTAGCAAAGTTGGGGAAAACAATCTAATCCAAAACCGAAGTTCACTGTGATGGAGCTATAAGAGAAAGATAATTTATGTTCATAGAAAATATTTTTAGAAAATTAATACTGAAATTTTCACATAATCTATAGAAAAAAATTAGTGAACTTTTAACAAAAACTTTTGGAAATACAGTAGAAAAATATTTTATTCAAAATTTAATAGCAATGAAATTAATATTTTAACAAAAACATGTTAATTAAAAGCGTTTCTAATAGTTATTTTCAAGACATATTTTCTAAAAATTTATATAGTAGATTCGGTAGACCAAACTAGATCAATCAAGATTTGTTCAAATTGGTAACTAAAACTTTATATTTTCTTGACCCATCTTCTTGCTATAGTGTTCACAAAATTTTAGCATCAATAAAAAATTAGTGATGTGTGTAGCCCAAAACTTCCTATGGAGAGAGATATATTTTATAATGATAATATTAAAATATTAGTTATAATTATAATAAAATTTTTAATAAATTATTAAATTTTATTACTTTACTTTTATTATTTCTCTTGTCGTATTATCTATTTCTTTCTTTATTAGTATTTTAGATATTTTTTTGTTACTTTAGTTTTTAATATTTTCTCAATAAATATTAATTTTAATATATTAAAAGTTTCTGTTATTTTTAGGGATTTTTTCTTTTATTTTATTAGTTAACTAAAGAAAGTAAGTTTTTAATTTTTTGTTATTTTTTTTGGATTTTTTTTACAAAATTTCCCTTATTTCATCAATATTTTGTTAGTTAAAAAAATTGTTAATAATTAATTTTTCTGTTATCTACCTTTATTTTTATAACTTTTTAATATTTTTATTTGATACAATTATATTTTAGTGAAAATTTCTCTTATTTGCTCTTTTTATTTTGTCTCATTGGTTTGAATCAATCAAACCAAATTAGTCTAGTTATGAACTAGTAATTAAAGGCAGCAGGTCAAATAGTTTTTAGGTATTTTAACTCGACACTTCTCATTTTGTTTTCAAAATTGTATAACCATGTTAAATTGTTTAAACCAGAATGGTCTAATTTAGTATGAATTGGTAATTGAAGCTAGCGGGTTGGACAATTTTCGATCATTAAAATAACTCGATCCATGAACTTCATCTTCTTGAAGCATAGTCATTTTTAGGTTGTAGGTTCATTTCTTCTCTAGCTTTCTTCTTATCCTAGAAAACTAATAAACTAAGTTGGGAAACCACCTAATCCATTTGATCTATCATGCAATGCCAAAAAATTAAGTTCATCGCAATGGAATTATGATAGAAGGGAGACAATTGATGATCATAGAAAATATTTTTAAAAATTTGGTAGTGAAAATTTCACATGATTTATAATTTTTAATGAATTTTTTACAATTTTTTTAAATATAAGAAAAACTTTTTACTAAAATTTCAATTAATAGTAAAATTATTTTAATAAAAACATGTTAATTAATAGTGTTTCTTATATTTACTTTCATAATATATTTTCTAAGAAAATATATAACGTATTTGGCAGGCCAAACTAGATCAATTAAGATCTATTTGAATCAATAACTTAATAAATCGGGGCAGTCACCTTTTCCAATCGATTATAGTCATATTTTTGGTACAATGTTCACTCCACGATCACAATATCGTTTCAATGTCAATGAAAATAGTGATGTGAGGGGCCTAAAATGCCCATGGAGAGAGATGGATTTTATAATTATAATATTGAAAAATTATTTATAATTATAATAAGATTTTTAATTAATTATTAAATTTTATTACTTATTTTTTTATTATTTGTCTTACTGTACTATTTACTTTTTCTTATTTTAGATACTTTTTACTCATCTTATTTCAATACTTAAGTTCTACCTTAAGCATCTATATATCTATATCTATATCTATATCTACATATCTATCTATGTAGATATATCTATATCTACATATCTATATCTATATATATATATATATATATATATATATATATATATATATTTTAAAATAATTTTATATGACAATTATACCCTTCAGTTTATATTTTAAGTAGGTTTTATATGTTTGTTATTTTGTATTTTTATTATGCCTATAATGGTATTTTGGCTTATAAGCCATTAAACCCTAAATCCCAAACCTAAACATGAACGAGACTAAATCAGCTCTTCCAATCTTCCTCTTTAGCGCATCCTCTATAACGTTGTTCAGCTGCAGCTAGAGGTGTAAATCAGACTGGCATGACACAACTTTGCGTGTCACCCGTGCTTTGGTGAGTTGTGACGTGCCATGCTTGGGTTAGGCCCAGCATGGCCCTTGGCTCGAGCCCAAGTAGGCCAGAGCTAGGCCGTGGGCCAAGCCTTGGGCCAGGCTAGGCCAGGGCATGATAGATATTTTAAAAAAATGAAAAAATTAAAACAAATTAACAAAATTGAAAAAATTGAAAAAAAAAATCTTAAAATTTTATTTTATATGAATTTTTATGTGTACAATTGTTTACATATGAAATAATAAAGTGAAATTAAAAATTACAATACAATGGAATAAAATAGTATAATAAAATTGAAAATAAAAAATTATATGTATTTGTTGAGAGTGTAAGGGCATTTATGTCCTTTCATGTTTTCTGTATTTGGGCACCTATTCAAGAGCCCATTTGTAATTTTCTTCAATATGTTAAGTAAAGCATTCTTCAGGGTGTGAATAGTAACACACCTGAGATTCTTGATAAAACCCTTTCTTCTTCTTCTTCTTGATGACTTTAACTTGGTATCAGAGTGTCGGAAGATCAAGGAGAGCATCAACCGTTGCTTGTGACTCACAGACGAACCTGCTGATGTCAGCATGCCGCCGGTTGACATCAGCGGCCCGTACAGTTGGCGATGTCCGTTTGCGGTTTTGACACCCATTGATGCACCTCATTTTTAGAGGAATTTTGATATACATTTCATGGATGTTTGAAGTTCTTTTACATTTTTCTTGGATTTTTCATATGAAAATTGGCGAAAAATACAGATTTGGAGTTTAGGACTTGCATGCTCGATGGTGGGCTAGTTGCTATTAAATCCACTTGCATTTGAATTGTGGCAAATTTATGAGATTACAGGAAGTAGTCTCAGATTTTTTGGAGCCCTTAAACTTTTTTGAGAATTTTTTCTTCCCCTATTTGGCCGCCAGCACCTTCTTTTCTTTTGTTTTATTGTTGTAGACCGTGTTTAACCTTCAAGGAAAGGTGTTTGGGTGTTCAGCTAGTGTTGGAAGATTGTGGTGTTGATGAGAAAAGTGTTTTTAGAGGGATGGTGGTCAATGGACTCACACAAGGATGTGTACGTACCTACCTATGTCCTCCTAGGAAGTAATGACAGTGCTGGAAGGCAAAATACTACTGTAAAACTTGATGGAACAAATTTTCTTGAATGGTCTCAATCAGCTAAGCTTACAATCGAAGGAAGAGGTAAGCTTGGGTTTATTACCAGTAAGGAAGTTAAGCCAAAGCCTGAAGATCCAAATTATTCCAAATGGGAGCAGGATAATTTGTTGGTTATGTCATGGCTTGTATGCTCTATGCAGCCTCCTCACATTGCCCGCAACTATATGTTCCTTCCAACAGCTAAGGACATTTGGGATAGGTTAACTTCAACTTATTCTCAAGTGAAGAACATGGCTAGAATCTATCAGTTGCGAAGATTAAGTGTGTAATATGTTGCAGGGGGAGAAATTGGTGGCCATGTATTTCTCTTCCTTACAATCAGTTTGGGAAGAAATTGATCATTTAGAAGCTTTGGAGTGGAAGGATCCTATTGATGCTAAACAATATAGGAAGTGCATTGAGAAAAACCGAGTTTTTGATTTTCTTGTTGGACTGAATGCCGATTATGATTTCACCAGGCAACACATCCTTAGTGCTGATATTTTATCACTCTCCACAGCATATTCTTTGGTGCAAAATGAAGAGAGTAGGAGGTGCCATGATGCAAGTTCCTGTCAGTGAGCACACAACTCATGTCTACAAAACCCAAACAGAGTTCTGGTAAACTTGAAGACGTAGTTTGTGAATATTGCAAGAAGCCAAAGCACAGCAAGGATAGGTGTTGGAAACTAAATCCCCACCTAAAGCTTGAGAAGTTTAAAACCGGAAAGAAGGTAAATGTTCATGTTTCTACAGCTAGTCATGATTCTCAAACTCGCATGCTTGAGGGAAATTCTTCTGCTCAGGCATCTACTCATGACACCTCTAATGTGATGGAAAAATTGAGAGGCATCTTGCTCCATCTTGAAAAGAGTGGGTTGCCTACATCTGCTGGTTCACGTACACCTTCTAGTGCCTTTGCAAAATCAGGTATTGCACTTGTGTGTCATGCTTCATCCTCTGGCTCTTAGATAATTGACACAGGAGCCAGTGATCATATGACTGGTATGCCTTCCTACTTTACCACGTATAAACTTTTTTTAGGGAAAGGTAAGATTACTATTGCTGATGGATCTCAGACCCTAATCTCGGGTTTGGGTGAAGTTAAACTTACCAACAACCTTTCTCTGAAATCAGTTCTCCATGTCCCGCAACTGCATAGAAATCTCTCATCTATTAGCTCACTTACAAAGTCTCATAGTTGTTCTGTAACCTTCTTTCCATCTTATCGTGTCTTCCAGAATTTGAGTACGGGGAAGACGATTGGCAATAGACATGAAGTCGATGGAGTTTATCTTCTTGATCAGTCTCCAAAGTTTGGGTTAATTGAAATTGTGGCATCACCATCTTGGGCATGTTTCTTTTGGTTCATTGAAGTTTTTGTTTCCTAGTCTGTTTGAGTCCTTGTCTAGTTCTGGTCTACAATGTGAAGTCTGTCAACTATCAAAGCAATGTAGAACTACATATTTGGCAAGTAACAAGAGAAGTAATGTTGCTTTCCATTTAATACATGTTGATGTTTAGGGACCTTATTCTATTCCATGTATGGGTGGTTATAAGTATTTCATTCTCTTTGTTGATGACTACTCGCGGTATACCTGGTTGTATTTGATGAAGAGTCGAGATGAAGTTCCTTCAATTATAAAAGGCTTTTTTAATATGGTGGAGACACAATTTGAAAAGAAGATTAAGATTATTAAATCTGACAATGCCAAGAAATACTTTGAGAAGCACTTACAAACTTTCCTTGAAGAAAAAGGAGCAATTCACCAAAGTTCATGTCCTCATACCCCCCAACAAAATGGGGTATCAGAGAGGAAAAGCAGACATGTGGTTAAAAAGTTGCTAGGGGATTGTTATTCTAGATGCATGTCCCAACTCAATTTTGGGGAGATGCTACACAAGCAGCTGTATATCTTATGAACAGACTTCCTTTGTAAACCCTTCGTCTCCAGTCTCCTCATCAGCTTCTTTTTCCTGACGAGGATGCCTTCCATCTTCCTCCTAAGGTCTTTGGGTGTGTCTGTTTTGTCCATGACATGAGTCCTAGGTTGACATTTGATTCAAAATCTATTAAGTGTGTCTTCTTGGGATATTCTTCAGTCCAAAAAGGGTATCATTGTTATAACCCTTGCTCTGGAAAAAGGTGTGTGTCCAAAGATATCACATTCTTTGAGTCTAATCCCTTCTTTTCCTCTTCTCTTCCTTCTCTTCAGGGGAAGAATGCTAGTGAAAGTCAAACTCCTTTTTGTATGTCAATTCCTACTCCAGTTGTAACTGGTATTGTCGATCCTTCTCCTTCTCCTCTTCCTCCTTGTGGTGGTAGTAATACTCCTCCTATGCCTCCTCCTCTGCCTCCTGTTCCTCGGTCTTGGCACCAGTGGTTTGTTAGACGAAAAAAGAGGATGACTCTAGAGATTGAATGTCCATTACAATTTGACTTACCGGACTCAAGTAATCTAGATTCTAAACCTCTTCTTGTTTCTAATACTTGCGGTGAACCTATTACTGAGCCTCCTAGTGTGGTTTTTGACCTTAACCTTCCTATTGCGGTTTGTAAAGCAAAAAGGACATGTGCTAAATAACCTATCTCAAATTATGTCTCTTATGATACCTTATCTCCCTCTTATTGTGCCTATATCTCTTCCATTGCTTCTATTTTTATCCCTCACAGTGTTACTGAGGTAGTGCAGTTCCCTCATTGGAAGGATGCTATGAACTAGGAAATGGAATCGCTTGAGAAAAATCAGACATGGGAAATTGTTTCTCTTCTAGTGGGCAAAGTTCCTGTTGGATGTAAGTGGGTTTACACAGTGAAGCATAAAGCTGATGGCTAAATTGAAAGGTATAAAGCCTGGCTTGTGGCAAAAGGGTACACTCAATCTTATGGCATTGATTATCAGGAGACTTTTGCTCCAGTAGCCAAGATGAATTCAATTCGAGCTATCATGTCTCTTTCTGTCCATTATTCTTGGCCCTTGTATCAAATGGATGTAAAGAATGCCTTCCTTAATGGCGACCTTCAAGAAGAAGTTTACATGGAACTTCCTCCTGGAGTGAACATCCTTGGGAGTGAAGGAAAGGTTTGTCGTTTGAAGAAATCCCTTTATGCCCTTAAACAAGTCCCCTAGAGCTTAATTTGACAGACTCATAAAAGCTATCTTAAAAATTGGCTTTTCTTAATCTCAAGTTGACCATACCTTATTTATCAAGAGAGCAAATGGAAAAGTGACTATGTTGATGACATTGTTATCACAGGGGATGATATCTCTGGAATTTCTGAACTAAAGTCTTTTCTTGCTACTAAATTTGAAATTAAAGATCTTGGAAATCTTCGGTATTTCCTAGGGATTGAAGTCGCAAGGTCAAAGAGAGGCATTTATATTTCTCAAAGGAAATATGTCCTTGATTTGCTTCAAGAGGTATGGAAATTAGATTGTAAACCAGCTAAAACTCCAATTGATCCCAATCATAAGTTGGGAGTTGATGATGGAGATGTCCTTCCTGACAAAGTTGTGTATCAAAGACTTGTCGGTCGCCTTCTCTACTTGTGTTTGACTAGACCAGATATATCATATGCCGTGAGTGTAGTTTGCCAATATATGCACAAGCCTAAATCATCTCATATGAAAGCAGTGAATAGAATACTTGTCTATTTAAAAGGATGTCCAGGAAAAGGGATGTTGTATTCTAATCATGGGCATCTCAAGGTAGAGGCTTATTCTGATGTTGATTGGGCAGGTTCTATTGATGATAGGAAAAGGGATGTTGTATTCTAATCATGGGCATCTCAAGGTAGAGGCTTATTCTGATGTTGATTGGGCAGGTTCTATTGATGATAG